ATAATGCATCAGCTATGTATCATGTGCACCTACTTTATTGTCTTTGTGTAAGCTGCCTTTGATTTCACTTTTTCGAATTACAGTCAAATGCAGAAGTTTGGGCGCCCTTGGTCAAATGGCATGTTTTGTTGGTTTTCTAAGTGAAAATAAGTTAAATACATCCTCTACAGAGAACACACTTGCACACGTTTTAATGCACAATCACTGTTTAGTTGCTGAATTGAAAATATTGGGGAAACCAAAAAACATAAAATGTGCAAAATTGTGGCCCATTTTATATTTTATGTTTTATTTTTTCTGATATGTGAAACTCAGCAAATAAATATATAATTTGACCTGGTACAGCTGTATTTCTAGCTTATTGTAAATACGTTCATGAAGATCAAAGGCCTCTTTACCCCCCACCCCTTCCTGTTATTGTACTATAGTGTCTCTACTGACCACTTTGATGTAACGGACAACAAGACAAGCACTTTTCTATAAATACCTTCTTAAGCATTTTTTTCTCTTCCTAAATCCTCTCTGGACTTACAGTAGCCAGTGGACTGAGATCAAAGATCCACAGTAAATCAAAGTGAGAGATCTAATAAAATGGGCTTTAGCATGTGGAACAGAGCATCCATGCTGTGTGGTTTGTGTTTACAGTGTTCACACATGAAGTAATCTACTAGTAAAAAACTCTGCTACGCAGTTGTTTTTCCATTTCTCTAGAGGGGGGCCTCTTGAAATAGTGCAGACATGGTCACAGCTGCATTGCCTGCCAGCCTGGCCAATACCAATAACACTTGATCCCCTCAGACACCCCCCCCAACAAACAGAGACATGTTTTTATACAGTGTCAGGACCAAGTCTCATATGTAATATTTATATAGGTAAGTATCTGTGTGTAATAATATGTCACATATGTTTTAAATAAATGTATGTACTCACAGTAAATGTAATAAAGGACTTACGTATCTGTTTGTAACAAGATATATGTGTTTTGTAGGCCTTAAACCCTAAGTCTAACCCTAGGCCCTAACCCTAAATCTAACCTTAAAGACAACATGAAACATGGTGTTAGCGAGGGACTCTAAGCTAGTCACAGACAGTGACATATCTGGTTCCAGGAGGCCTAGAGTGATTTTTTTCTTACAAAATTGGTCCCACTTACTGGAAATCAAAACATGATTGGATGATTCCACTGTCATTTCCTAGTTATGTTGGTGGTTATGTGACATATTAGGCCTTCTGTTCAGCTCCTGAAGTCCTAACCAGTGGGAAAGCTAGCTAGGCTGTATTTACCTAGCTGTGATGGTAAAATAAATTCTGACTGGAGAATTTCTGTTGGGCCTTTCAAGATTTTAATACTTTCTAACCGAAACATAACAAGCATGATGATTCTATTAAATACAAATACAAACACATGAACTAAAATTAAGACATTTACTTTAATTTCACATAAATCATTAGGCCTTCTATGAAGGCCTAGAAGGCCTTGAGTGAGAGTTTCCCACTGCTGCTTAATGTTATTTTACCCTGCCTGCTGATGCACAATAAGGTAATTAAAAATCAGAAGGCTTTTTAGAGGCAAGCAAAAGTTATTACATTTTGACAGGGAAACGGTTGTCTTTTAAAAGACATGATATGGTGAATTGTGTCTAATTTGACCAGGGACATGAACTAACACAGTCAAAATGTCAGTTTTAATTTCAAGTTGACTTTAATTTCAGCAACCTGAAAGAAATAGTTCTGTTCTTTTAGTTTTAAAAAATGACACTTAGATTTTAAAAATATTGTGACATATTTGTTGGATCTGTTTTTTCTTGGTTTTCCTACAGTAAGAACATTTTTGTCCTAAAAATGTATGAAAACAAACACACACACAAATACACACATAACCTTCTTGAACCTTCTAGTTCTGACCGTCTCCCACTGCCTTGGTTACATAAACAGGGTGTTCTCACTCTTCAGTCTCCTTTAGGGTGGCTGTGTGTGCCTGTCTGTCTGTCAACAAGATGCCAACTCATTAGACACAGCCATTTGCTGCTAGCTCTGAAGTCCAGATATGCTGCTTTACTGCTGGTCTGTGGCTTATTTTCTGGACCCCTAACAGCGTCTATGTTCTCAAACGTCCCTGTTTACACTCATGAAATCAGTCTTAATGAGCTGAACAGCAGGTTCTCTGTTTTAAAAGTGGACAGTGAGAAATGTGAGGCTTTTTTTGTGCAGTCCATGAGCTAATATATTTGAAGGTGAAGCAGGCTCATCAGTCTTGATGCCTTGCACATTTGAGAAAGGGCCATTGAAGTTAAGGGTGTCTGGCAGGGGTGTTGATAGACCCCAGTGATGTAATATAGTGAGACATGACCAAGTGTGGGTGAGAAAAGGTTTGGAAACATAAATAAATAAAAAGTCCTGAATGTGCCTTGATCTATGAAGTCTTTCTACCTGTGCCCTTTTCCACGTTTACTGGTGCATTTTGGATTCTGATTGAATTCTCCTGCTCAGTGCAAAGCGCACAACAGTTGAGGCATTTTTGGAAAAGTATTCATAGTAACTGGTCCAAGCAAGGAAAATTTATAAGTCTATGTTTTCTCTTTTATTGGGAATAAAGTTGCAAAATAAAGGTTTTGTAGTTAGTTTGAGGGGTTTGTAGTAGGGAGATCTTTATTCATGGTAGTACAGATGTACATTATAATGGCTATTACTGAAACAAGTTGCTTTGCCTACCTGCTACTGTCATGGCTTGTGTCATATCTTTGCCAAAACCACTGAGTGTCGGCACTGTTGTTATAATAACAATAGTAGTGTCAAAGTTAATGCGTTAACAATGTGTTAACACAATTAATTCTTAGTGACGCTCATTTTTTTTACAGCTGTTAACGTATTTTCCTAATTTGACCCTTTGAACCAGCATGAAAGCCCAGCGACTTTTGTTCAGATACTGCTTTTAAAGAATTACGAAGTTCCATTCAGGGTTTTCTTGATAAATTTATGTCCAGCTACCAAAGTGGTGAATTTGTTTAGCACCAAAGTTTATCAAGCCTTAAGTTAGCAAAACACATTCCTGATGGTGGGGGTATCAGTAACATCAGGCACTGGGTGACATCTTTGACGGGAGATGGACAGTGCTCGTGAGAGAACTTTGGATAAAACCTACAAAAGCAATAGCAAGATAAGAACTTGTTGTTTTTACTGTTGTTAGAATCAAATTTGAGCATACAAGAGGAATGTGATTAATTATGATTAACCACACAAAATGATATGATTACAATAAAACACACAATGATGCGATACTATAAAACAAAGAGTGAAAGAGACCCAATATACTAGACATGTTCCTGCTTGGAAAATGTACGTTCCTAATATCCCTTGGCACACTCTTCCAGAATTTAGGGGCTATTTAAGAAATGTTGGCGTGGTTCTCCAGACTACAAGGAACACTCAGGATTCAGGAAAATCAGGGTATTAAAATTTAAATGATCATAGCCAGGAACCCAAAACTCAACTAATCCATTTCTTCTAAGAGTACAACAGAGCAGAGAGAAACGTCAGTGTTTCCAGTCCCTGCCAGCATATTCTGGGTTGTGTTGGAGTGCTATGTGTGCCAGGCTCTGGGGTTTGGCAGCACTTTAATTCCACTCTGACAGTCCACTACACATTCTAGACTCTAACACTTCTTAAACACCCTTTTCTTTTTCCAGGCCATTAGAAACAAGCAAGCAGTAGCTATTAGTGTAATTGAATTTGCTCTGAGCTAATGTTTTTTTTTTTTTTTGAGAATTTGTTTATAAGTACATGGTGTACAGTGTTGTGAAACATAGTCTATCAGTTGCTGTAAACTAATGTAATCATATGCTGAGCAGTGTTGGACTATGATGAAACTAATTCACAGCCAAAAGCCACAAATTATCCCCACTTTCTGAATATCAGTAGATCTGTGTTTCTTCAAATTTGCTAATTTATTGCACAGTTCTCTTCATGCTTGTTTGTGGTGAAATCAAATTTGGCTTGTTAAGCCCTTGGATATTGTAAGTGTCTTTACATAAGACCCATAGTAAAAGCCGAGAACAGTGTTATAGCTCTGTAATTAGATGGTGTGCAGCACAAAAATGCCCTCTAGTCCAAAGCCCCGGTGTCATCAGCCTTAAACCACTCCACAGGACGGAACAGAACAGGATGGGTCAGAGGACGGGTCAGAACCTATATAGTAAAAGCTCTTTCCCAAAAAGTGTGTGTAACAGTTGTGAACAGTATAAACTCCTGTAGGTACTCCATATACATCTTCCTTTGAGCGTGGCCCATTTCTTTGCCAGGTCATCATTTACTTCCATTTGCTTACTTAAAGAAAATACAAGTAGAGCTTAACACGTTATTAAAAGACAAAATTAAACAAAAGTTTATAAACTTTCGGCTCAGGCAAAGTTGTTCTTAAGAAGTCATTTTAGGACATTCAGTACCAGTTCAAAGTTTGAACAGACCTGCTCATAGAAGAGTTTTTCTGTTTTGGCTCAAAGGCATTAATGAGGACAGGCATTACACTACAGTCTTAAAATAGATGGTGTTTCAGGGGTCTTTAGTAAAGAAAATAATTCTATGTAGAACCATGAACGCTCAAAGAACCTTTTGCATGACTAAAGGGTTCTCCAGACTGACGGAGAATGTGCTGCAGATGGTTTTATATAAAACCTTTTTGAAAGTGGTTAGATATAGCAAAAGGGTTCTTCTATTGTTACAGTGTCAAGCTTGTAACAGTAGAAGAACCCTTATGGGTGATATATAGAGCCCTTGTCAAAAAGGTTCCATATAGAATCGTCTACAGCACATTCATGCACATTTTCCATCATTCTGAAGAACGCTTTAGTCATGCGAAGGGTTCTTTAAGCATTCATCGTTCTATATAGAAACATTATCTTTACTAAAGAACCCTCGAAGTACCATTTTTTTTAGATACTTAATGTTCGACCCTGTCTGAACACTCCTGTAAGTGTCTTTGTGCCATTTGCTTTCCCTCTCAGACGCGGAGGCTGACCAAGGCAGAGCGGCAACGCTTCAGTGAGGAGGTGGAGATGCTGAAGGGGCTGCAGCACCCCAACATTGTCCGCTTCTATGACTCCTGGAAGTCAACTGTCAAAGGCCACAAATGTATTATCCTCGTCACTGAGCTCATGACGTCAGGAACCCTCAAGACGTAAGTTTGGCAAAGGAAAATACAGAGATCAGAGAAATTGCTCCAGAATTGCTTGCAGATGGCTCAGCAGTTTACACATGTAAGCAACCCATGCATGCTTGACTGCTGCCCTATTGTACAAAGAGAAAAAAATAAATAACGTCCCTTTATTTTAAACATTCACTGTCATTCTAAGATCCTTAAGCAAGGTCATTAAGATGGTCTAAGTTATTGAGTTGAAGTGAGCACAATAAAGTGAGCTAATCTTTATTGTTATATTATGGATTAATAATAATAAAATGTATTTACTTTGGTAAAGGTAACCCCTCACCCACCACCCTGAAAAGCAAGAGTAAATGAGTTGAATTTCCATTATGAAAGACAGACTTTAACCAGCAATTCATGTCTTGGGGCCTCAGATACTTAAAAAGATTTAAAGAGATGAAGCTGAAGCTTCTCCAACGCTGGAGTCACCAGATCCTGAAAGGCCTTCACTTCCTGCACACACGAACCCCACCAATCATCCACCGAGACCTCAAGTGTGACAACATCTTCATAACAGGCCCCACTGGCTCGGTCAAGATTGGCGATTTGGGTCTGGCTACGCTCAAGAGTGCCTCTTTTGCCAAAAGTGTCATAGGTGAGTTAATATAATGACCTTGGTGTTCTTAAGAGCCCATTCAAGGTCTCTAAAACAGGATTTTCACCTTTTTTTAGGGTTTGTTTTTCTGATCCACACTGTGACTCATCCTCTCAAATGGATTAGCTAAGAAAATGCTAACAAATGAAAATGAGTAAGGGCTAGTTAGCATTATGTAAATGTAAATAAATGTAAGTTCATGTTGTCATTTTTGCATGAAGCTTCTAGTTCAGTTTGGTCCAGCGGCAAAAACTAGAAATACTCACTTTTGGCACATTAATCAGTAATGGACCCATTGCTCTCTGTACCCTGTTACCTTGGCAGAGAACTGACCTTCACAGTCAGTACTGTAAACATGCCTTGCACTGCTACCACTACCTGCTGGTGTATACGTTTGTTTATTTATTTATTCTTGTCATATTTATGCCGCCACAGTGCTTGACAGAGATTAGCCTCAAAGACGTCAGCACCTACTGTGTATTTGTTGTCCTCTTAATAAATCTTTCTCGAAAATCGTAATTGTTGGCTGTGCGAGGCTCAAAAAGGATCTGTTTGAGCTGGTATCAGCCAAAGGATTTAGGGCACTCTATACAGACAGGAATTAGTCATGCCCATCATATTAATGCAAGCAAGACTGTCCTAAATGGAAATTGGAGTGCAGTATAATGTTTTTTGAAATCCACTGTTTGTTTCCAAGAGACTAGCCATGACATGTTTTGTGCATTCCAGGATGATTTCAGTCAAATTTCTTAATATCCTTGTTTAGTACGAAAACATCTTGTGTTCTTCCAGGTCCAATACTAGGCCTTTTATGTTTTAAGCCCTCTTGCTGTATTCTGTGTTCTCACAGGCACCCCTGAATTCATGGCTCCAGAGATGTATGAGGAAAAGTATGACGAGGCAGTGGACGTATATGCCTTTGGGATGTGCATCCTGGAGATGACAACATCTGAATACCCCTATTCTGAGTGCCAAAATGCAGCCCAAATCTACCGGAAAGTCACAAGCGTAAGTGAAGTCTTTCTGCCCCTTTTAATTCTTTGATGCAACAGGGATGAAAGTGCTAATGTACAATCCCATCCAAAAAAGGCCAAGCCCCAAATGGCAAAACATTAAGCTTTTAATGGTCTTAAGAACAAATCATTAAACAAATAGATAAAGTAATTTAGTATGGGATAACTTTTCTTTTTGATTTCTTTAAATGTTAAAAGTCTTGTGGGTAAACTTTCAGACACCAAGAGTCAGTATTGGTCAACTCAGCATTGATGGCTTCGAACATTTGGAAATAATGCCCAGCTAGCGTTTAATGTAAGACCAAATATTCTCCATAGGGTTTAAATCTGGACTCTCACCAGGCCAAAACCATCAGTAAAAACATTTTTGGACTTGGCCCAAAGTTTCCTGCCGTTCCACAATTAGCATGTCAGATTATACAGGGAGATTCACTCAAAAGAGGCCCCGAATATTCTGTTGCAAGGATAGGATGAAGCAATCTGAACCAAAAAAATACGCTACATACCTTGACATATGTGTAATCTATTGCATTACATGCGATGCAGGAAGTGATCTCCGTTTTCTGCCAGACACATGAAGGGGTTTGGGGGTATGCACCTGGAAGTTGCAAACGGAGGTTAAACGTCGCGACGGCTGTCCGGCGCCTACCTCATCGCTCCGACGCAGGGGCATCCCGGCTTGTTCATATACTGAGGAGCACATTGCACATTGTTTCGTCCAGATTGCTTCGTCCTAGCAAGAGTTATTACAGAATATTTGGGGCCTCTTTCGAGTGAATCTCCCTGTGTAACAATAACAATGAAGGTAGTACATTGCATTCATAATGCATGTGGTATTATTATCCTGTTGTCTCTGTTCTTTTCACTATTTTTCTCTTTCTTCTATATTTGCCATATCTTTGTCTTTTGTCTTTTTAACGATCTGTTGCACATGCGGTCAATCCCTGACACAGCTCTCAATGGGACATTGTGTGTATCTGGTTATCCACGTGAAACCACCCACAGTCTCTTCTTTTACTTATCTATGCAGACTACTCTAAACTCAGTGGCTGTCTGCACTGTAATAGTCTCCTCAGAGGTTTCATGAGCCCACTAATGGCTGTCTGAAGCCTATATGAATGTCACAGTGACATTTCTCCACGGCAGAAGGGACAATTAACACGTCTCTCCAGAGCTATAATTCCATTTCAAAAAACAGAGATGCCCTGCTTCATCCACAGCAGTAATCATCCTCGATCTCAGCTCTGCATTCCCACAGGATTGAAAATTGCAGGACTACAACGTGTTATTAATTACGTTGTGAGATCCATAAGTGCGACGCCAGCTTGCCACAGTCTGTTGCAAGTGTCTGATTCAGTTTCTGTTGATCTCACAAATTTAACCTCTTCCCCAGAGACCTCAGTATGCCCAGCTTTCCCCCCATTTCTGAACCTATTGAATCAGTGTTTTGATGTAAATCATATGCAGCCTTAAACCACAGACACAAACAGCAACAACACTGGCTGTATTGTTGAGTACAAGAGTATATTATTTTAAGTGAAAAACTGCCTGAAGTCTCCCTTTTCCATTCTTGAACACACTTAGTTTATTATCCTTACTGTATAGCCATTTACAATATCTAATGGTTGCCAGAGGTTATAGAAAATTACACAGAAGCCACAACAACTAAATATAATGTCAAGTTTCTCAGTGTTTAGTTTGCCCGCACCCTTTGCCATTACAGCTTCCATTTTTTTCAGGAGGCTTGCTTTTGAGTTGCAGGGGTATTTTTCCTCTAAAGTTCAGTCTTAGAAGTTGGTTGCATTTCTGCTTCTCATGATTCAAGTAATCCCAAACACACTCAGTGATGTTGAGGTCTGGAATCTAGGGTGGTCAGTCCATTGTTCTGAGAACAACAGCAGCTTCTGTCTTTTTTTTATTTATTTTCCTTTTCAGTAAGAGCTTCTTGATCACTACACATCCTTTCCAGAGGTGTTTCTGTCCATCCTTACACAGTGACATAGCACTGAGGACAACTCAGTGCTATTTTACAGTGTAAGGATGGACAGAAACACCTCTGGATTTTTTCTGAATCTGAAGTAAGAGTGGGCCTTAATTTATTTACATATAGGCTGTTTTGCCTGGAAATTAAACAAATTAAGGGTGGTCTCTGATTTGTTGATTTGTTGGCCACCTTTTACCCTGTTCTTCAGTGGTCACGACCCCCATGGACCACCACAGAGCAAGTATTATTTGGATGGTGGATCATTCTCAGCACTGCAGTAACACTGACATGGTGGTGTGCGTTAGTGCGTGTTATGCTGGTACGAGTGGATCAGACACAGCAGTGCTGCTGGAGTTTTTAAACACTGTGTCCACTCACTGTCCACTCTATTAGACACTCCTACCTTGTCAGTCCATCTTGTAGATGTAAAGTCAGAGACGATAGCTCATCTGCTGCTGCACGGTTTACAATTGTCTGGAATCACTTGTTGTATTATCTGTATCATTTTATATGTAAAAGTGTCTTGTACATTGTGGATTTGAATATCTTTACACACCGAATAGTACTTTTTTCTCAAGTTATTGGCCTTGATACTTAATCACTTTAAAACAAGGCATTCTGGATCATTATTTATTAAGAAAAGTGTCATTCCTGATGTTATACAGGTTTCTCAGTCATTTTAAAATCATGTGTTCCCTATTGTGCAGCTCTGATCATTCTTCTAGATTCCTACTAATCATTTGAAACCTCTGATGTTATACGATGCTAACATTAGAATCATTTAAACATTTATCTGCAACAAAATTGGTTTTATGTTGACACCAAACTGTATATACATTGATTCCAAACTTTTGCATGGTAGTATATATACAACCCTGTTTACCCATGATTTTTTAAAATTGAAACCTTTATAATATAATAATATAATGAAATTCCAAAGTAACAAACATAATTATTATGCCTTTCACAATTCAGCCAGATTATTAAATGATGAAATTTATTTCAGACAAAGGGTTTTTTTTCTCTATGTAGAAGGGTTATCAAAGAATTAGCATAATGTGCTAACTCATAACACCTGTTTTCACTGATTATTAGCCATGCTAGCATTGTTTAGCTAATTATTAGTTGAATGTGTTTATTTAAGAGTGAAGAGCTTGCAGTTTATCAGCTGTGTCCATATTTCCCTCTTCCTTCAAGGACTGAAGCAGTTTGTATGATCCAGCATTGATGTCCTCACAGCGCTTGTATCTTTATCAGCATGTCCTTGAGTCATGCTTTGTTCCTGTTCTGGGTCATATATTTATATTATGACCAGAACAGGCCTTATCTGATTCTTTTGATAGTGAAAGGGGAAGAAGGAAAGACTTGATTGTGTGTTGATGCATTTGATTTTTCTCTTTAATGGTATAAACATTGAGAGACTTTTATTGTATTATTGTCCTGTGCTGTACATTGTACAGGATGATGGTGTTTGAGCCTCAGGATTGAATGCAAGGACAGTGCGCTTGTTTGTATTTTTGTTTTTGATGTTGTTGTTGGTCTAAATGAGGAAAATAGACTCAAATAGTAACTAGTGATATGTGATGTGAAAATTTATGAGACCACCTTCATTTTTAAACAGTTAGGTTATTAGTGTATGAACATATACACTAATGTATGAACACCAAGACTACATAATGTGCTACAGCTTGTATCACAACATATATCACAATCTACTCCTTAGTGTTTAAGGAATCTTGGATGTCCAGGCAAAAAAACACAATTAGCTTTAATTGTTTTTTTAATGGAAACTGAACTTTGGCTTTCAAAATTTTTAAATATGCTAATGAACAAAGGCCTGGACTTAGTACAGTGTAATATGATATCAGCAACAATTGACCAGAAACCTGATGACAGTAATCACCACGTTGACAAAGACAACAGCGCTGTCCTGATGGTTCTGACAAGTTGTAAAAGAAATGCAAATATAATCATTGTATGCAAAAGTTTGGTCAAATGACATGTTTTGCTGATTTTCCAAGTGAAAATAAGTTAACACATCCTCTACAGAGAACACACTTCTGCACATTTTAATCCACAATTACTGTTTATTTGCGTAAGTTAACATATTGGAAAAAAATAAAATATAAAATGCTGTCTGTGCGAAATATATAGCACATTGTTTTGCTTTTTTCCATTATGTACTTAGCAAGAATGTGCATAGTAAGTAAGTAGAGATTGTGCACTAAAATGTGCATAAAATGTTTAGATTTTTTTAGGATGTGTTAACTTATTTTTATCAAAACATGTCATTCTACCAGGAGTGTTCAAACTGGTGCATACAACTGTACTTCATGGTTTCCCACTGGCATATATAACTGAATTCTATAGCGACTCCGCTACAATGATAGAATGTCAACAAAAAAATACCAAGATATGGTGATAATTGAGCCCTACTCAGTGTTTTGCTGTGTGTCCTGAGCATTTTGCCCAGTCACAGTTCCAAATTAACCCCTTAAAATCCAGGCCTATTACATACTAAGGTTTATTATTCAGTAACTACAGGCACTTCAGTGCAAACTGAGCTAATAGTAAAAAACCTAGGGCCCACTGGGGGGGCCTGGCCATTAAGGGGTTATTTGTGTTGATGAATCATGGTATTTGTGTAACACAACTAAAGTAAACCATTACGGTCAAAAATGATGCATGCCAATCTTTCACCGTCATGTTGCATGGTTGAGTCATTAGTGTTTTTTAATATGTTGTAAGGCGTGTCACAGTATCTAGCAATGTCATGTTGTTGTTGTAGCACAGCTTTGCGGTCAGTGGGGCGTGGAAGGGGTCAGATATAGGCAAGGTCACTGGAGGAAAGTGCGACATGATGGAAATGGATCAGCAGCCTGTGCATCAGCTGAGGGGGGAATGCTGCTCGGCCAGCCTCATACACTCGTGCATCACTGGCTGAGCTCTTTGAGCTCCTCTGTGCCGGGGTGTGTGACTGGATGACATGACATTTGTAGCCTTATAGTGGA